CCGTGACCTGCTGGGCTCCGGCGATCCTTCCGCCTCAGCCTTCCAAGTAGCCGGAATTACAGGCATGCGCTACCATGCCCGGCTGATTTTTTGATTTATTGTAGAGATGAGGTCTCGCCGCCCAGGCGGGTCTCGAACCCACGGGCTCAGGCAATCCACTCACCTCAGCCTCCCAAAGGTGCGGGATTACAGGCTGAGCCACCAAGCCTGGCGAGTTTGATTTTTAATACACAGGCTGGTGGCACTCCCTGTTCCCCAGAGACCTCAGGCTCAGACACTGGGAGACTCAGCCTGGCTGCTGCCTGGCACCCACATGGTGGAGAAGGAGCAGCCTTGAAGACCAAGTGGGGCCACGGTCAAGGACAGGTCAGCCTGGTCCTTTGTGCTGGGTCCGGCGTGGTCCCATTTTGAAGAAAAGTTCTAACTGGAGCGATTTTAAAGCAGGTGTAGGAGCTGGGGCAAAAGGGGGATCTAAGCTAAAGGGAAGGCGCAGAGGGAGTCGTCAGACACCTGGCCTGGGAGCCACAGTCAGGCTCCACACCCTCCGGTCAGGAGAGGGAAAAAGGCAGATTCACACGTGGCTTGCAGTGGGAAGTGCTGAGTGGCAGCAAATTCCGGCTGAGCTCTGAAAAGGGCTGGGGGCTGCTGCCCTTGCTGTCGATAGCACCCCATCAGCCCATCTGCAGGGACAGTCTTCACACACTGCTCTCAACTTCTCTCTCATGCCTGATCATTAATACTCCTGGCACTTCCAAAAAGAGAGGCACCCACAAGAATTCTGTGCATGAGCTTTGGAAGGAATAGGAGTGAGAGTCCCCCCTCCCAACCCCAGCACGTGTTCCAGAGTTCTATGTCCTTGGAGAGGGGCCTGGCCGATTCAGAGGAAAACGGGCAAAAGCTGGCAACGTTTGCCATGGTCTGAGAAAAGATAACTCCGTAAAGATGTGCAAAAATTACTTTTGTGGAAGTGGACTCATTTCATCGTCACATGTACACGTTGAAGTTTTAGCATCATTTTCACAGAAGAGGAAAACTGAAGCACAAAGAGGGCATCAGACTTGCCCAAGGTCACTCAGCAGGGGATAGTGCCAGGGTCTGGGCCCAGGACCAGCCCCCATAATCCACTGGCACACGGACACACGCAGAGCTGGAGCCCCCCCCACACACACACACACTTTCTCCTGCCACCACCCTCACAGCTGTCCTTGCCTTCTTAGAAGAGCTGGGTGTGGGACAGCTCATTGCTGAGCACCCCTGCCCATCTGGTTCCAAGAACAAAAGACAAAAAAACCTTCTCTGAAAGCTGGTTTCCCTCAAAATGTGGCAGCTTGGGCCTCAGCGGGGGAGGCCTAGGCTCTCGGGTGGGGGATGACCAAGGCTGCAGAGGCCCAAGGACAGGGCCTTCCTGGAAAGCTGCAGAGGAGGGGAGGCTGTGTGACCGCGAGAGCCCGGGGAAGCCCTCTGGAGCACAGGGCACCTCACCTTGATCCTCCCATGGGTGATGGCTTGGTTGATGGCCACAGCAATGGCCACACGGCCCTTCTGGTCCGAATACAGGATCCTTGCCTGGGAACCCACCACCTGTGGAGGAAAGGGTAAGAGGCCTCAGAGCAGCACCAGGACTGGCGACACTTCTGAGGGTCCTCTAGAAAGGTCTGGGTTACCCTGAGGTGCTGGGCACTCTGAAGTCCATGGCCTAAGTGAGCCCTCGTGTCTGGCCTGCCAGACGGCCACGCCAGCCCCCACACACCCACTGTAGCCTGGGCCCCCAGGTGCCCCCCGTGATCCATCGCCCCAGAGTGTCATCCCTGGAGGACCTCAGAGGCCTTTGCCTGTGCTTCAGGGAGGTTACCTCCTAGGAACCACTCTCCTGCTTGCATCTTTTCGGTGTGACAACGCCAACACCACATAGCGTGAGTGTTTGTTGCTCCTGCCCAAGAAGATGTTGTTATCCTCATCATAAGCTCCACTTTATAGATGAGGAAACTGTGGCCAGAGCAGCAGAGCTACCTGCTCACAGGCCAAGACTTGTGTCTGTCTCAGCACCCAGGAGCTCATCTACCAGGCTATGGCACCTCCCGAAGGGAACAGGGAGGTTGTGTCCAGGAGATAACGCTTCAGCAAACAAAATGAGTCATCATCGAGTCCTGTGGTCCTTAACCACGATGACCTTTGGCAATGGCTGGAGACATTTCGGGGTGCCACTGACACGGTTGGGGGGAGATGCTGCTAAACACCCTATAATGGCCCCACATGATGGAGAATTAGCCAATGGCCTGAAGAGATACGACCCGGAATATATTTATTAAAAAATGTGTATTTATTCTTACACATTTAAACTTTAGTCACCTTCAAAGTACTCTCCATTTGGTGCAATATGCCTATTTTATCCACTGCTCAAAACTGTTTTTAAACTCATCAATTCTGATGCTTTTTAATGCTTCTGGCGTTTTTTGTTTCACCTCTTCCACACTGGCAAAATGTTTCACTTTGAGGACTTTTTTCATCCGGGTCACTCAAAAAAGTCACTCAGGATGAGATCGGGTGACTAGGAAGGGTGGAGCACAGGATCATGCTATTTTGGTCAAAAACTGCTGAACACTCAAAAACTGGTGTACTCGTAAATCACCCATTCGTGAAATGGGCAAACGTGTTGAAAGAATCTCAAAAAAAAAAAAAAAAAAATTCAGTGAAGCCAAACACACAGCCTCTCACAACATCAGCTGGCACAGTGATATCAACGGTTCCTAGAACATTTACCTGGTGGGGAAAGCCTGTACTACCAGGGACTTGCCCTAAAAGATAATCCATTTTATTTGGGGGGAGGTCCTTCCTTATACGTGCATGCCCATGTTTACAGCAGCATTGCTCACAACAGCCAAGAGGTAGAAGCGGCCATGTCCAGCAGCAGCTGCCTGGACAAACCAAATGCGATCTGCCCATACAGTGGAAATTACTTGGCATTAAATGGAAGGAAATTCTGGCATAAGCCACAACATGGATGAATCTTGAGGACATTGTGCTAGATCTGGGTTACCCTGAGGTTGCCGTATGATTCCCCTCATATGAGGTCCCTGGAGTAATCAAAACCACAGAGCCAGAAAGTGGAATGGTGGATGCCAGGGACTGAGGGAAGGGATGGGTATTTCATGTTTAACAAGAACAGAGTTTCAATTTGGGAAGATGAAAATATTCTGAGATGGATGGTGGTGATGGTTGTACAACAACGAATGAACTTAATGCCACTGAACTGTACACTTAAAAATGCTTAAAATGCCAAGATGCTAAATTTTATGTTTATGTAAAACATGACTTTTTATCAAACAGCCTCATTTTACTCACACCAGCTACCTCAAATCCTTTTTGGAAAAATGATTGGTATAAATCAGTGCTGAGAGATATTCATATTTCTTGGATCCAGAAAAAAAAATTGGGAAGGAACCGACATAGGACTGCCCACTTCATCAAAAGTGTATATTAAAGGAAATTAAAACAAAGTTTTTAAGAAAGTCAACCTTCTGCAATCACCATCACTCACAAGAGAAACAGCAACACCAGGAAAAGGAAGAACAAGTCTCCGAGTAACCCGAAGTCACACACAGAGAGGCGTTCTGCTTGCTGCTTCTGCGACAGCATCCACTTCAAGGCTCTCGACCCTTGCGACCCGGCATCGGTCCTTTCTCAGCCATGCTGGTGCCTTCCCTCAGGCTCCTTTCTCTTCCTTTCTCCACCCCATGTCTGCTGTGACCTCCAGCACCAGATGTCCCTAAGCCCCAGGCACTCGAGTCTTGGCCTTGGTGTCTGCAACCCAACACTGTCACAGAGATGTTGTTGGCACAGGGGGTTTGAGGCTGAAGCACAAATGCAAACCACTGCACAAGGATGAGGCAGCCCGGGAGGGGGCAGTCCCCTCCTGGACCTGAGACCCCCAGGCCGAGAACCCACTGTTCTAGACATGGTCCACAGCCAAACATATGCGAACCAAACGCCCGTGTCCTTCTTTTTTTCATTCTATGCTCAGTACGCTCAGCCTGCTCCCACCTTGGGGCCCATGCACAGGCTGGTCCTGTTGCCTCCCCCGACTGTCACACAGCTACCCCCCTGCTGCACATACACCTGAACACATGTCAGACAACTTTTCCCGGCCCTCACCCGCACTTCTCTGCTTGGTCTTTTCTATCACACACACTCACAAAGATGGGGCAGGACAGTGCTCAGCCCTAGCACTGCGGCCCCGGCACAAGGAGGGCCTGCTCCACCATGACTCTGCTCTGCAGATGAGAGTGTGGGGCTCAGAGAGACTGAGCCATTTGTCCCAGGCCACCCAGCTCCAGAGCCTGAGCTCAAGCCTCCTGCAGAGCCAGGATGAAGGATCTGACCAACTCTGGTCACTGCCCCAAAGCCCCAGGCAACCTTTTTCCCCAAATTTTAAAATTATTATTGTAAAAAAATATATATATATATATATATATAATATAAAATTAACCATCTTAGCCATTTTTAAGCATATAGTTCAGGGTATTAAGCAGATTCATAATGTCGTGCAGCCATCACTCCATCCATCTTCCCCTCCCACTCCCCTCTGCCCCAGGCACCCACCATTCTTCTGTCTCTATGACTTTGATGACTCCTGGGACTGCATACATGTGGGACCACACAGTATTTGTCCTTTTGTGGCTGGTTTATTTCACTCAGCACAATGTCTTCAAGGCTCATCCATGTATAGCATGAGTTGGAATTTCCTTTGTAGACCACATTTGGTTTACCCACTCATCCACCAAGGACCACTGGGCTGCTCTCACTCGTGGCTATTGTGGTTAATGCTGCTATGAACATGGGTGTGCGAGCATCTCTTTGGGTCCCTGCTTCCAGTTCTTTGGGGCGTATACCCAGAAGTAGGACTGCTGAATCACAGGGTAATTCTGTTTTTGTTCTTTTGAGGAACCCTCACACTCTGCATGGTGGCTGGACCACTTTATGTTCCACCGTCAGGGTTCCAATTTCTCCACATTCTCACCCAGGTCACCTTTTAAAAGGCCCCGGGCTTACTTCTCCACCAGCTCCTCCGGCCAGGGGGCTGCGGCCTCCCCTCCTAGTGTGGTCGCAGACAGGCACAGAGGGCCCAGTGTCTGCACCCTCCGGGGCATAAGTTACAGGCTGTGGGCTGTAATTACAGGGGCATAAGTTACAGGCTCCGGGGCATAAGTTACAGGCTGTGGGCTCACCTCCAGGTGGCCTCCTAATAGCTTGGTTTCCCCTGCTCCCTGCAGCCCACCTCTGCTCCCCCAGCCCATGCCCTCACCAGCTGGTGCTTAGCAGCCTCACGGATCCAGCGGATGTTGTCCATGTACTGCAGCTTCACAGATGCCTTCACTTCAGGGAGAAAGGAGATGGAGTGTCACAGGCCCCGGAGCCCCTGCCAGGGGCACAGAGCCTCCCCATGTGGGCTGCTCCCCACTCATCACTGGGGCCAGGATACAGAGCCAAGGAGCCCACCCCATCCCGCATAAGCCTTCTGACGCTGGGAATCGTGTCAACAATCATAAGAATCAACGCATGGACATGGGCAGCCCTCATGGACTGCCTGATACCCTCATCCCCCTAAGAAACAGCTATTATTTGTTCACTGTACACCGGACACCATGCTTGGCACCAGGAACAAAGGCTGTGGGTCATGAAGAAAATAAGAGTGTGATGAGATGGTCACAAGGGTGGTGGGATGGTGGGGCCGCAGGCCCTCTCTGAGGAGAGACTCACAGTTAGTGAGTCTTAAAGTCTGAGAAAGAACTAGCTATAGGAAACTTTGAGGGAACAGAGTTCTGAGCAGAGGGAGCAGCCAGTGCCAGGGCCCTGACGTGGGAATAGGCTGTGTCTGGGAACAGGACAGTGGGACTTATGTACGAATGGCTAGGTGTGTGAGAACCAGCTCAGACTAGCTCAGGAGAGCAGCCTGGTAATTTTTGAGGAATTGTGCGAGCCAGTGGTTAAGACAGATACAATTAAATTTTGAACTAAATAAACTTACACTTAAAAAAAATTACGTTAACTTTGAAGGTGACATTGGACACTTCTCATTGCCTTGTCCTAGGCTCCATGCTCTTGAGGTCACCTGCCTCCGTGGTATCTGCCTGGCGGAAGCACTGCTGGCCAGTGTGCTGCATCCATGAGTAGTCAGGTCATGGACATGACTAGAAACTAGCCACTGGGAATAGTCACACCGTGGCCGTCAGTAGACACAACGGCCCACTGGCTGCCTGCTGAGGACTGTGCAGCTATTCTCACCACTGGGGAAACCCAGGGGGCTCTGGGCCTGGCCTTCTCTTCCCTCCTCCATGCTTCTGGGCCCCCTGCCTGCCTCCCACACAGGTGGCTCCGTTGACCCTCCTCCTGGTCTGCCAACCCTGGGTCTTGAAAGTTGGACCCTCACCTCAGCCCACTGACCCTGAAGTCAGCAGCAGGGTGAGGACAGACCCAAGGGGTTTAAAGCAAACGGCAAAGGCTGAGCAACCCACACAGAGAAGCCGGCCCTTGACCTGCAGGAAAGCTGTGGAGAAATGGGTGAGAGCTCCGACACCCAGGGAATGTCATAAAATAGTGCTTTCTCTTCTCCATGTGATAAAGACATCGAATGCACTCAACAAGGAGAGACAGTAGTTTAAAAAGAGGCAGACACATAGACACGGCAAAAACACAACCCACCAAGTCAAGAGACAGAACCAATAATCTCTATCAGCAGATCCCAAGACAGAGTTGGGAGACCCTGACATAAGAAGACCCACGTGGACCTGGAGGATGTGGAAGGCCAACAGGAGCCCAGAGTGGTGGTGGCACTCCCACAAAGGCAACGAGAAGGAACTAGAAGCCCCGACGACAGGCGTGCACCTGGGACCTGCAGAGAGGACGCTGGGCCAGAGAGAGACTGAAGGATGTCAAGGGCGGCCCAGCGATACCAGTCCAACAGGTCCTGGTCACGACTGTCTCATCTCTTGTACCTTGGAGCCTTTTCTGCTCCAGTCACTTTGAGTGGCCTCTGCCACTGGCAGCCAGAAGCCCTGACTGGCAGGAGGCTGGGCTTTGTATGGGGCCTGTTGCTCCAAGGCTCAGAATGATTCAGGGAGACTGGGCCTTCCTGGCAGACCTCCAGAGTGCCCACCGAGCTCACAAGAGCCACCCAGGCCCGGGGTCTGTGCCGTTCTGCCCCCAGCTGCACGTGGGTGTGCCGTGGGGCCTGTCCCTGAGGAGCAGGAGTTCAGGGGACCCCCACCCATGCGCTCCCCCAACAGCATCACCTCCATCAGCAATGACTCCCTCCAGCACCGACGTGGCCAGCTGGTCGGTGACTGCCAGGTCCTGGGGGTCCCCTGATGTGCATACCCAGCGGAAAGGCCCGAATCCCTGGGAGAATATGTCCCTGCAAGGACAGAACGCCTCCTCAAACCGGGGGTCCCAACTGGCTGCTCCCCCTGGCTTGGACCCAGGCGCAGCTTGTGAACATGCCTATCCGGAGGGTCCAGTGTCCAGGACTGGGGCTCCAAACCCCAAAGGGTAGCTGGACAGAGTTTCAGAGGGTCTCTCTGTCCCTCAGTCCCCTCCCTGTCTCCATTCCCCTCCCTGTCCTCAGTCCCCTCCCTGTCCCTCAGTCCCCTCTGTCCCCAGTTCCCTCCCTATCCTTCAATCCCTTTCCTGCCCCCCAGCCCCCTCCTTGCCCCTCAGACCCCTTCTTACCTCCCAGTCTCCCTCCCTCCCTTTCACCCCCATCCCCGCCCCACAGACCCAGAGTGGCCAGGTGCTGGGCCACGGGTTTTATACATTTTGCATTTTATACTCTATGAGGGAATTGCCTATCCTACAGAAATAAGTCTGTATCAGGGAAAAGGCAAGCTGAGCTTTGGGGGCTGGGGCCTGTGCCTGAGCATTGCACCTGCTCTTTTTACGGCACTTCATGTTTTTAAAGCACCCCAGGTCTGTGTCTCCACCTCCACACTGCATCATTTCTAGCTGCAGGAGCAGGAACTGGGATCTGGACAAGCAAAGATTTCTTCAAATGCTGTTACAGAAACTACAGGAAAAATCAGTACCTAAAACTAAACCGTGAGAGGAGAGTCCGTGTATAGGGACTTGGTCTTGGGAAATTCACTTAAGTGAACTCATCTTCCCAGACTCCTGTGGCAGGGACAATCTCAAGGGTAGGAGGCCAAGGACTGATGCCCTCCCAGGGCTCCTGCACTTGCCAGGCTGGCCAGGTGCACCCTTGTGGGCTGGCTTCCTCCTTCTCCTCCCCAGGGAAAACAGTTGCCCCTGTGCCCTGGGCAGGACCCAGTCCATTTCTGGCTCTGCCTCCACGCTCCACTGTGAACCTGAAAACGTAGGGCTTGCGTTTCTTGCCCCTATCCCTGTCAGGTCCTACCTCGTGCCCACTGAGGACTTGTGAGTCTCCCAGAAGCACACAGCAGAAAGCCCAGACTATGCTCTGGGCTTGTCCTGGGCTGCTGGACCTCCTCCCCTTCACCCCCTCGTTCTGCCCCTTGTGGCCACAGGCTTCAGAGTCATCAAGGGTCTTGGTCTTCATGGTCAAGCCATCAGCTGCCTTCTCGGGTTCGTGGCAGAGGCCATGGGATGAGAAGCCCCTTGGACGCCATTAGGGGTTGTGGACTCAGCGCTGGGGGTGTTCACCAAGAAATGGCCTCGGCTTCAGCCTCCCCTGTCCTCTTGCAGAGGCCCGGCAGGAGGCCTCTCTTGTTTGCAGCTCCTCTTCACCGGCATGTCTGTGGCGGCCATCCCGCAGCATAGGCTGGCCACTCAGGGACACACGACCTCATTGGTAGCCAGAGGCTGCAGCTTTCCAACCTGAACACCCAGGATATCCGGGACCCAGACTCTGAAGGGGGTGGGAGTGGCACCAGGCTCCCTGGAGCCGGCGGCCACCAGTCACTCACCCCATAATGTGCTGGACGTAGGAAGGGTAGCGGAACTCTGTCTTACCGGCCCCCTTCTTCTCCACGTCTGCTCCTGTGGACAGAGCTCGAACCGTCACCACCCAAGGCAAGACGTCCATGGCCACCCCAGGGGGGGACTTAAACACAACACAGGGCCCAGCGAAAGGCCAGGGAAGGAGCAACAAGGTCTTTTTTTTTAGTTAGAGTCTCATTCTATCATCCAGGCTGGAGTGCAGTGGCATGCTCACAGCCACCGCAGCCTCAGCCTACTGGGCTCAGGCGATCCTTCCACCTCAGCCTTCCAAGTAGCCGGAACTACAGGCACGTACTACCACACCTGGCTAATTTTTTTAGTTGTTGTAGAGACGAAGTCTCGCCAAATTGCCCAGGCTGGTCTTGAATCCCAGAGCTCAAGCAATCCTCTCGTCGGCCTCCCAAGGTGCTGGGATTCCAGGCTGAGCCACCACGCCCAGCCAGCAAAGTCTTTTTTAAGTTAAAGAGGGAGGGAGGGAGGGTGGCATGTGGCCAGTATGTCACCATCTGTGTGGCTGTGCTGTGGGAGGGGGCATGCTTGCCTGTGAGCACTTCGTCAGCCTCCAGAGCCACGCCAGAGCCTGCCATCCCCAAGGAAGGGACAGGGCAAGGGGCACTCTCCCACTGCGGGAAACAGTGTACCTTTTGGGTTTCGCACTCAGTGAAGGAATCGTGCATTCTACAAAGAAGTCTCCATCATGGAAAAGGGAAAAGGAAAGCTGCATTTGGGGACTGGAGCCTGCACTCGAGCATCGTCCCTGCTCATGACACTTTATCCTCCTAAAGCACATAGGGAAACTGAGGCCCAGAGAGGCCAAACTGCCTGGCAGGGTCAGCATCTACAAGGCCACAGCAGAGCCTCCCTGGGAACAGGGCCACCCATGACTAAGCCTCTGGGTGTGAGGTGGAAGAGAGGGGAATCTGCTAGTGAGGTTGGGCCCACCATACCTGCTCTCTGGGCCTCCAAGAGGAAGGCATTGCCATAGTCCCAAAAGAAAAAGTTCTCCTTGGCCAACCTGTTGATGGCTGAGACTTGCCTCCTCAAGCTGCAACAAGCAGGAAGACCGGCACCATTGATAAGAGGCTCTGGCCCCGCTGCCTGAAGAGCCCCCACTCTACAGGTTTTGCCCGCTCCAGGCTCACTCCCAGCCCTGTGCCCTCCCACCAGGGCTGCCTACCTGGAATGCCCCACCCCTGTGATCACTTAGACCCTCCATGTCCTTCAACACCCAGCCAGCATCCTCCCAAATAAGCATTTTCTGGTCCCCAACCCTATCAGGCCCTGGGGAAAAACAGATGCCCCAGAGAGGGCCACACATGCCCCAGCATTTTCTCAGCACTGACACATCAGAATTCACCCCGAGTATTTTGTAAATGTCACTCTGGTTTGACCCTGGCATTCCCAGGAGGTATGTGTGCCATAACCCCCTCTGACAGGCAACAAGCTACTCGGAGAGGTTAAGGTCTTGCCCAAGGCCACACAGCTGGCCACTCTCGGAGGATCAGACAGAAGCCAGAGCAGGAGAAGGTGGGCCACCCAAGCCAGACATCCCTGCATCCCCAGGCTTGCAGTCACCTTTCCTGGACAAGGTCCTTGAATGCAGCAGGATTAGAAGCCATGAGCCTCTGGGCCTCCGTGAAGCCGAGCTGCACAGGGTAGTAACCCCCGTTGAATGGGTGGTGGCAGGAGGTCTGGTCTGACCCGAGGTCCACCAAGCACTCCCCTGTCGCCTCCAGTTCATGAACCAGGCGCTCCCTGGGGAAGTGCAGGCGGTTGGTACAAGGCAGGCATGGCCTGGGCCGGAGCCCTGGGGCTGGTCGGGGGGATGTAACACCTTTTCTCACCTACACACCCAGTGGGCAGGGCCTGAGTTGGAACCTGCTTTCCCCAGAAAGAGCACCTGCAGGAAGGCTGCAGGGCTGGCAGAAACCACTGCCCTGAGCTCGGGCAAGGGGGTAGGCCACCAAGGGTAGGGCACCACTGAGGCTTGAAGTCTATGTCTTGCAGCACCTGGGGCAAGGGTCACCTGGGGTCCCCAAGGCTGCCAATTCCCACCATCTCACTCACCAAAGATCCACCACGTTGCCATGGTAACCAAGGCTGAGCACCTCCTTTTTTCTCCTTGCTTCCCTAGAAGGACACAGAGCAGAGCAGATGGCCCCACACCTGTCCTTGGGGTCCCTGAACATACCTCACCCCACCCGCACACAGGGAGCAGACCCAGGAGACACTAGAGGTGTTGGGGGCGGGCCTGTGTGGCATAGCCTGTGAGTCATGTCCCCTCAGGACTCTGTCTTTTGTTCAAGACACAAACCCTAAAGGCAAAACTCAGACTTGAGTGCCCCAGACAAGAACACTGACCCTGCAGTGGGGACAACTTGTAGAATTAAGGTGATCGGAACTCTAACGGGGATCTTTACGGAACTTACTCAAGGCAGCCTTAAGGCTATAGGATTCACTGAAGATGATTCCCAAAATTATGTGGAAAACTAGCAGAGTAAGAATATTTGAAGCATATGTTGGGGAATACAGACTCGAACAGGCTCACAGGTAGCAGAGGCATCGAGAAGCAACCACGGGCGGGGCAGGCAGTGTGGCCACTGATAGATGCAGATCGCAGATCACCACACTGGGCTTGGCAGGGGGAGCTAGTGGGAGCCAGAGGCCTGCTGTGCCCCAAGAGACACACACAGTCCCAGAGCATCCAGGGAGGCAGGTCTACACAGGGACTTGTTGGGAAAGGAGGGTGGGGCCCCGACTAAAAGGCCTTGCCAGAGCCATGAGCCCAGGAGGCTCACTTTGTTCCCACCTGCATCTTCCACTCAGGCTGCAGAAGCGTGGCCACCAGACTGCTCCGGCTGTCTGCTAAACTGATTTCGGTGTGTGTGTTCAAGTGTATGCTCATGTGCTCACATGTGTATGTGTATGCATGTGTGCACACATGTGTGCACACATGTGTGTAAATGTATATGTGTATTGTTTACATGTGGATGTATGTGTGGGAAAGCGTATGCATGCTGTGTGTATGTATCTAGAGAGTGCATGTGCATGTATTTGTATGTTTATGTGTGTGTGTACATGCATGCCCTCAGAATGCTAAACAGCCTGAACAGGGACAAGAATTAGGTCAGTCAAGGGCCTTGAAGGTCACATCCAGAGTTTGGAATTTCTCCTGTAATTGGCGGACAGTTGTCTGAGAATTTTTAAAAAGGTGCATGTAGTCGAATTAGTATTTCAGAGTGATCGATGTCAAAACAGGGTCCATTCTGAATAATGGGAATATTTGGAAGTTCGCTGTATTTTTTATGTTCATATTTTCATATAAAACAATATTTTAAGCCCCCGTGGTGATTCTCTTTGTAGCCAGGGTGAGGACCACTACAGGGATGCATCCTCCCCAAAAAGAAGACCCTGCTCAGCACTGTAAATTAGCTGAGAGGATGCTTCAAAAATGGCTTCTGGGCAGGAGCCCCCAGGGCATTCTTCCCACTATCCACTAAAACACCTCCAATGATATCCCACAGGAGAAATGCTGCCACAAAACCCCACAGGGCACCCACAAGTACAGTGGGGATAAGCTCTGCTCCTGCTGTGCCCACAAGCACATGGAGGGAAGGCACCCTGGCAGCAGCTCACCCTCCCCAGCAGTGCAGGGGAGCCCCTCTCATGGGCCAGCTCCGTGGGACCGCACAGAGAGGAAAATAAGACTGAGCCTCACACAACTGGGGCTGTGTGTGAGAACTAAGTGGCACCCGGAAATCCATCAGGGCCAAAGGTCTGCACACCCAGGACACAAGCCCAGCCCCTGCCTACTCACCAGCAGCCACAGCCGGCAAGACACAGAATGTCAAAGGGCCTTCCTGGGACAGTTCTGCCCTGTGACCCACGTGCCATCCCTTAGTATAGCGCCCACGTGTGCCCAGGCATCAGGCCCATGCCAAGCAGCCCCTTGCAGATGTCTTCTTGTGGTCTCCCTGGTTTTGATGCACACATGTCAGGTGCTCTGGATAGAGCTTGGAGCTGTACCTGAGTCTCTCAATGCAGTGGTCCAAGCTGTCGGCCACCTCCATCAGCCAACCTTGCTTGTGGCGTTTCTCCAGGGCGGCTTTATCCACCTGGAACCATGGGACACAGGGTCACTCAGTTATAAATCACCCCTGTATCACCTTCAGTTAAGAAGCCACCTTCAGTTAAGAAGGCACACCACACCCTCTTTTATACAACACAGTCTCGGGGCAGACACCACAAGCTGCCTTCACACGATAGATTCCTTCTGCTACTTCATTTCTCAACAGAACCCAGAGTCTGTTCAGGGTGACACTGCTCAGTCCCGGGAGATGATCCACATCTAAATAATCACAGCAGCCTGTCCACTGTTTCAATCCTCTCTTTTAGATGGGAACATACATCTGATCTAAGACAGTCATTGCAGACACGTCTCTTCTCATTTCTTCCTGCCTTAAATGTAGACCACATGGCTGGGGATGGGGCAGCAATTTTATATCCAAGATAGTCTGGAGATGTTGGCCTTTGCATCACTGAGCTGTTGAGCCAGGGCCAGCACTGCTGGTTACATGAGAAAAATGCAGCCCTGGCAACGTAGGTTTTCTGTTACCTGCAGCCCAGTGCAATCCAAGCCAGCACAGGTGTGTATGATGCAGGCTTGGTGTCAACTAAGCACAAATCACACTGATGCACATCACCAACACCTGTCTCAAAGGCCCTCACCTCTCCTACTTCCTGCTTCCCTTCCACTCCTTGATGCCTACCATAGATAGATGTGAGAGCCTGCTGTCATTTGGCTGTGTCTGTCTCCTGAACCTCATATTGAAATCTGATCCCCGCTGTTGGAGGTGGGACCTAATGAGGTATTTGCACCATGGGGTGGATCCCCCATGAATGGCTAGGCCTCTGCTGTTCTCACCAAGAGTGAGTTCTCGCTCTATTAGTTCCCAAGAGAGTTGGTGTTAGAAAGAGCCGGGCACCTCCCTCCCTCGCCTGCCTCCTTCCTCCCAGGTGATCTGCACACACAGGCTCCCCTTCCCTCTACCACGAGGGGAAGCAGCCTGAGGCCTCAGCAGGGCAGATGCTGGTGCCTTGTTTCTTTGCAGCCTGCAGGACTGTGAGTCAGGTAACCTCTTTTCCTTATAAATTGTCCAGCCTTGGGCATTCCTTTATAGTAACACAAACAGGCTGAAGTAAAGCCACTGGGGGAAAGCTAGCTGTACACTTCTACCTCTATCACAGGGTGACTTGTCTGCTCCCTCACCCCCCAGCCATGAGCTCCTCGAATTGAGAGAATTGTGTTCATTTATTCACAAACGTGTATTCCCTCCTGCTTATATTCCAGGGATTTTATACGGGGAGGCAGTGTCCATAAACAATCTCAGTTTCATGGGAGAGCAGTCACAGGCATGGCAACGGGCACTTGGAAGGCAGACAGCATATGCCATCACGAAAACACACCTGATGAGGTTGGGCAAGGCTTTGTGGAGATGAGGGTGGGCTGGGGGAGGGAAGATGAGGAGAGGGAGGTGCATGGTGTGAGCTGCCCTGGAAGGCAGGAGGGCGGGAGGCAGGCAGGGGCAGAAGCTGGGAGCTCTGCCAGCTTACCTCCGCTATCACACCAATGCACCCCACTATGACTGCGGCCTTGGCCTGGGCCCCACTCATCCCACCGAGCCCAGAGGTGACAAAGACCTTCCCGGCCAAGTCCTCGACGCCTAGGTACCGACGGGCAGCGTTCAACACAGTAAGCTGTGGAAAGAGAAGGGAGGGCACTCACTGCCTAGGCCCGGCATATCCCTCTCCCAGCCCCTGGTTAGGACCGCCTGTAGCGGCTGGGTGTGGCCCCATCTCTCACCACAGTGCCATGGACGATGCCTTGGGGACCGATGTAGCAGTAGCTGCCTGCTGTCATCTGGCCATACCTGACCACAGAGGGAGAAATGAGCCCAGTGCCAGGCCCAGCTCCTCCCAGCCACTCCGTTTAGGAATTTAAAATTCATTTTTAACTACCCCAAAATGCATTAATACATGCTCCATTTTTTTTCTAAGAGAGAGACCGTGATAGGCTGCAGTCCTCCAGTTCTGGTCCCCTTTCACCTCCCGGACCTTTTATAAACAGATTTGTTCTCTTGAAAACTGTGGTATAATTGTTTTTTAAAAAAATCACTTGGGGGATATTTGACCTTATGAACTAAAGCTGTCCATATGATATGCTTATGCCCGTGCAAGGACATTCACAAGAATATCCACAGCAACTTTATTTGCAGAGCCCAAAGACACTGAGATGCCCATGAACAGAAAATAGGTGACTTCAGCATGTGGACATGACAGGATACCCCACAACAGAGAAAGAGGCAGAGTCCTGCCCCTTGCCAGGGACAAGCAAAGAAGCCAGACATGACGTGCTACCGTAAAATAGCAAGAGCGCTTTCACGCACTCTAGGGTAATCTCAGAGCACGGAGATGAGAGGCAAGAGCAGCAAGCATGTTGTTTTTGAAACTCACTCTGGGATTAAAGGGATGTATGTGAGTACTCACTGTGTTTTCTTAAAGATTTCTAGAAACATCATCATCTGACCAAAGACAAAGAAGCTTTCCTACCTCCTCGGACCCTTGCTGGCACCCAGATGTCTCGATCCCAAACCCCCTTCCCGCCCTAATGATAAGAAGAGCCTGGCATTTGCACTGACTCAGATGGTTCTTATTTATTTATTTTATTTTTTATTTTTTTATTTTGAAGATGTGGGGTACAATTCAGGGTTAGGAACATAAGTGGTCATTGTGCAGGTAGAGTTGAAGCCTCCCTTTGGTCCCCACTTTGCCTGGTTTGAGATTGGGTGCCCTTATTGATGCTATGTGCCCCACTCCTCCCCTGGCAGTGTCCCCCTACTGCCAATCCACCATCTTTCCAGTCTGCTGGCTCCCCAGACCAAAGCTGCCTTTTTCGCCCCGGTTCCTGTCTCTCCACTCACTGTCTGTCATGTGGTGAGCAGAATGAGTTTGGGCTCAGTCACAGAAGGAGCACGTTCTGCAGGATTCCATCCACGTGACTGTCAATAAGGACACCCTATTTAGCAAATGGTGCTGTGAAAACTGGCTAACCATATCCAGAAGAATGAAACTGGACCCCTACCTATCACCATATACAAAAATCAACTCAAAATGGATCAAGGACCTAAATGTAAAACCTTGAGCTATAATAATCCTAGAAGAAAATGTAGGAAATACCCTTATGCACACTGGAGTGGATTCTTGACCAAGTTCCCAAAAGCAAATGCCATAAAAACTAAGATGGACAAGTGGGATCTCATCAAATTGCAAACTTTTTCACAGCAAAAGAAACCATCAAGAGGGTGGGGAGACAACCCACAGAATGGGGAAAAAAACTTCTGCAAGCTATGCATCTGACAAAGGTCTAACATCTAGATCTACAAGGAACTCAAACAAACCGAAAGAAAAAACAACCAACCAACCTCATTAAAAAGTGAGCAAAAACATGAACAGATACTTCTCTAAAGACAACATGCAAACAGCCAACAGACAAATGAAAAAATACCCAGCCTCATATCATCAGAGAAATGCAAATCAAAACTATGATGAGATACCATCTAACACCAATAAGGATGGCTATCATTAATAAGTCAGAAAACAACAGGTATTGGCACAGCTGCGGAGAAGAGAAAATGCTTCTACACTGTTGGTGAGAATGTAAAGCAGTGCAACATCTATGGCTCTAGGGAAAGCAGTGTGGCGTTTCCTCAGAGAACTAAAAGTTGGCCTTCCATATGATCCAGCAATCCCTTTCCTGGGACTATACCCAGAGGAATATAAATTGCTCTACCAAAAGACACCTGTCCACACATGTTTATTGCCATGCTATTCACAATAGCAAAGACAAGGAATGAACTCTGCTGCTCATCGAAAGTGAACTGGATAAAGAAAATGGGGTACGTAACACGATGGAGTATTACACAGTCATAAAGGAAAACAAAATCACAATCTTCACAGAAACTTGAATGCAGCAGTAGACCATCATACTAAATGAACAATCACAAAAACAAAGAATTGAATACCGCATGGTCTCATAAGCCGGCCCTGATCACTAGTTGCATGAGCACAAGGGTGGGATCAGCAGTCGCTGGACACAGAGAGGGCGGGAGGAGAGAAGGGGACACAGGAAGGGAAGGAGGGAGGAGGGAAGGGGGCACGTGGCAACAGAAAGGGCCCCTGATCCACTACCAGGGAGAGTGAGGGCCAGTTATAAGCCCCAATTTCACTTGCACGCAGCCTACTTATGGAGCAAGTCCTCATTTGTACCCACTCTAAAACAAAAAAACCAAACAACTCCATTTTGAGGAGGGGTACGTGGGAGTGGGGGGGGGGCTGGACACCATCTGGGCAGTGTGGCGCTAGGGTGCACACTAGTTAGCACTCACCAAGCTGGACACTTCAGAGTGTGTGCTTTGCTGCGTGTTATTGAGACTTCAATGGATGACCTATAGTGTCTTGCTCTGGGTGCAGGTTACCATTACTCTTGTTATTTATGCAATGGCATCATCCCTAGGTGTTGTTTCTGCAACCTGCTTTCTTCCCAGTGTGACACCTGTAGGACCCTTTCCACACAGGCACCTGCACGCCCTGCCCCTTGCCTCTCATGGCTTCACAGCATCCCAGGCCCACAACCACAAAGGGTCTCTGCTCTCCTCTGGGTAACTGGATACCTAGACCATGCCTCCTGGACAGCACACCCTCACCAGCACTGGGTGTTAACGGCGTTTCCATTTTTGTCAACCTGACAGTCTCTATGGGTCACTCGTGCCTTTTCTTCAGCTGACTGCCCACAACACTTGGGTAAGTTCTCAGGTGCTGCTGCCAGGCCAGGTCTGACTTCTGCAGCTCCACCTTCATAAACTTCAGTCCTGAGTCTACCAGACAGAAGCAGTGACTCCCCCAGGGTCAATCAGCAAACAGTGGACCACGGCACAGACCCCCATGCCTCTGACCCCACAGCTGCTTCCACTGCACAGAAGAGGCATTTAGGTCCAATAATAATCACAACAGCAACTATGTATGGCCAACACAAAAAGTGACTGGGTTTCTGAGCCTCAGTTTCTTCCTCCACAAAATGGGCTAAGGAGGGTACCTATCTTAGAAGATTGTGTTGAGGGTTAAATGTAGCGGCATCTATAAGTCCTGGAACAACCAGTGGTGGTGGCTAGTACTGTTATTATAACATAAAATATCATCCTGAGGGCTGATGAATTGGTTCCTCATACAACAGAACTGACCATGATTTACATGGTTAGGACCTAGAGTGACACTCCCAGAAACCCATGAGACGTACAGACCAGGACACTCACTGCTACCTTACTCATAATCCCAGAGAGTTGGAGCAGCCCACGTCAGGAGGCGAGTAGCCTAACTGAACGGTGATGCAAGTGAACACTGCAAGGGAAGCAAGAATCCAACAGACCTGAGTCCCAAAGAGAACACTCTTCAAGTTCTCCTGTCAAGGGAGAAGGGCAAGGCACAGAGGCCATCTAGGACGGTCACAAGTCCACATGCATAAACAATGTTGGAAGGACTCAAGAGACACTGTCAACTGGGGAGTTGAGGATGGGAGAGGGATCTGCTTTTTGTTGTAGCCCTCTTTACAATGCTCAATGACATGATTTTCCATTTGGAGCATGGATTAACTCTGTAACAAATGAAAAGCTCTAGCCCTCTAGGAAGGGACACAAAGGAGCTCTCTAAGCCAATGGTAGTGCTCTGTGCTTGACAGGGTCTGGGTTACACAGGCACACAATTTTGCAGAGCCCAATGTGGTGCATGGAAGATATGTGCGTCTCATTACATGCACATTTTACTTCAAAACAAAAAACTGGCCAGTCATGGTGACTCACACCTATAAACCCAGCACTTTTGGAGGCCAAGGTGGGAGAATCACTTGAGTTTAGGAGTTTGAGACTATCCTGGGCAACATAATAAGACCTCATCTCTACAAAAAAAAATTTTTTTCATTAGGCAGGTGTGGTGGCTCACGCCTGTAGTCCCAGCTACTCAGGAGGCTGAGGCAGAAGGATCGCCTGAGTCCAGGAGCTTGAGGCTGCAGTGAGCTGTGATCATGACAGGGTGAGACCCCAACTCAAAAAACAAAAAAACTGCAAGAAAATATCAAATCTCAGTCAGTAATATTTGCAACTTTCTTTGAGATGCATCAAAAACCAAACCGAATAGATGGATAGATGAAGGCACAAATAGATTGCCACATGATAAAGCAAATAGAACAGCATGGGCACCATGGGATTTTGGCGGGATTCATTGTAAATTCTGTCCATTTTCTGTATGTTTGAGATTGTTCATAATAAAGTGTTGCAAAAGGGCAGGATCCAAACTTATATGTTCTGTTGCTGTCAAGCACATACATAAAACTGTTAGGGAGTACGCTTAATGACATTCATTATACCACAGTGCTGCACCTGTGCTTCCAAAGACTGTATTCAATATTGCCTTAGTGTCTTAAGTGAGGCCTGGTGGAGGAAACGCCATAGACTTAAGCAGCAACTTACATTGTGACTCCCAAGGCAAAGAGCTTCTCGTACTCTGTCCTGGAGGAGTAGTTAGGAATGACCTGGAAAAGATGGTGGGAGAAGGCAGTGGGCAAGAGCCGGGCACAGAGGCCTGCACACAGCCCCTGGCACTGCTCCATCCTAGCACCCCTCCTCCAGGGCTGGGCAGGTGCCTTGTGCTGCCTTGGGACCCACCATCCCGTTGGTGATGACCAGCCGTGGGGCGCCAGGGCTGCTGGGGAAGAGGCCGAGTGGATGCCCACTGTACATGACCAGAGTCTGCTCTTCCGTCATCCTTGACAGGTAGGACATCGTCAGCCAGAACTAGGGAGAGCAGGGTTCTGTGAGAGGGAGTGGCATCCACCCCAGGCCCCATACCACTCCCCAAGCCCAGGAAGCTCCTGCAGGCTCCAGTGGGCCCCCAGGTTTCCACACTGCTCCAGAGGCCCTTGGTGTCACCCTTGCCCAACCCTATAACCAGAAACATCCCCAAATAATCTGTAACGATAGAGCCTCAGGCACCAGCGAGGCAGAGTCCTGAGCCACGGGTAGGTATGCTCCTTCTGGGCTGGAGACCTAGGCAAGGGAAAAGGCCAGTGGTGGGGGACGAGGCCACAGGGCCCGCTGTACCTGGGCCCAGTTGCTGAACACCTGCCCGTTTCCTCCGTAGGTCACCAGTTCCTGCGGAAACTGGAGAAGACATGGTGTGGGCTGAGATGAAGGCCTAGGATGAAGGCCATGGAGTTGCAGACAGGGAGAGGAGGGGCCCCAGGACCTAGGCTGGCCTGGGGTGAGAAATGGGGGGGTAGGGGGAGAAGCCAGAGTGAGAGGCCCAGGGCAGCTGCATTTGAAAGAGCACTGGCCCAGTGGTGGCTGATGTTAGGGCTCGGCTTGGGGTTGGGGTCAGACCTCGGTCTGGGGCCACTCTGGGGTCAGTCTTTGATCAGGGACGGGAGCCACAGCCAGGGCTGTGAACCTTCTCACCTACTGAGTGACATAGTCAAATTCTAGGAACTCAGGGACTCAATTGCAGAGGACGTTCCTTCTCAAGTATGAGTAATCGACCTATAGACCGGCTCTCACAGGCATGACAGGCATATGTGGTCAGAGTCACGCAGCCTGATATAGCAGCCACCTGCCACAAGTGGGTTCTGAGTACTACTCCAGGTGCTAAATACACCCCCAGTTTCAAAGACTCAGTATGGAAAAAGAATGTGAAATATGCCATTAATAATGTTTATAAGACCAGGCATGGTGGCTCATGCCTGTAATCCCAGCACTTTGGGATGCTGAGGCAGGGGACTGCTTGAGCCTAGGAGTTCAAGACCAGCCTGGGCAACATAGCAAGACCTTGTGTCTACAAAAGGAAAAAGAAAGAAAAAATTAGCTGAGTGTGGTGGCACGTGCTTGTAGTCCCAACTACTGGGGTGTCTGAGGTAAGCGGATCGCCTAAGCCCAGGAGGTCAAGTCTGTGGGGAGCTGTGACCATGCCACTGCATTCCAGCTTGGGTGACAGACGGGGATTCTGACTCAAAAAAAAAAGTTTATATTGATGACATGTTAAAATAATATTTTGGATGCATTAAGACAAATAAAATGCAAATTTTTACTTTTTCATGTGGCTTTTAGAAAATGTTAAATAACATGTGTGTCCACGGCAGCGATGTTGATATCCTGGCTTTGAGTCTGTACTACAGTTACAGAGGATGGGACCACGGGGGCCGAGAGAAGGGTTCGGAGACCTCTCTCTATGTGCTGACTCGCAACTTCCTGTGGTTCTAAAATTATCTGAAAATTCAAAGCTTAAAAACATGGCACATGTGTCCCAGGTTATGTTTCACTTGGACAGCGCTGGCCTCGGTTTCCCTGGCCGTTACCTGGGCCACAGCAGGATCCAGGTTGTTCATGATCATGTGCATGATGGCTGCGGCCGCTTTCGTCCGGCAGGGGTACTGCTCGATCGGATAGGCCCTGCAAGGGAGTTCAGCCGCCAGGCGTGACGAAGGAGTCACTAGGCCCTCCCTGCTAAACTGCAGCGTCCACCCTGGCCACAGCCTGGCATCTGGCCACCTAAGTGTGGACAGTGGGACCCAGCACTCTCAGAGCTTGCAGGAGCTTACACTGGGGGCTCCAGAAGCATTTGGGCCATCACCCCCGGTGATCAGGTTGCTCGAGTGCCCACAATTCCAGAGAAGGGGGGCTCAGGCCCCACCTCAGCCTGGCCGCCCTCCTCCCCACTGGGCAGCCTCCACCTGGGAGAAAGCTGACTGCAAAGCAGAGCTAATGTCTGGTGTCCAGATGCCTCTCCCACTGGGCAGACAGAGTTTACTCCTTTATTCTCTCTTCTACTCAGCAAACTCTCCTGGTACTGCTTCCAGGCCAAGAGGCACTCACAGGAGTGAGGGACACGGCTCCTGCTTGGGGTGGGGGGCAGCATGCCCTGGGATGACTCCAGCCAAGTCTGGGCCTCCAGTAAACTCAAGAAGGAGTCTCAGGGCAGCCCTGTCTGGGAACTCTTTGAAATGCAGATTCCCAAGCCCCACTCCAGAACTGCTGAGTTCGAATTCTGGTGTGGGGCCCGGCATCCTTGTTTCCATCATGCCTCCTGTGGCACTGTGCACTGAGACCCCCACCACAAACCTGAGGCATCTGCCAGAGCCTCCCCAAGCCCTTCCTGCCTCCAGCAGAACAAAGTGTGGCTTTGAGAAAGGAATTTAGCGCGTAAGTTGTGGCTCCAGAATTGCACAGGACCGACTGCCCAGGACAGGCCAGAAGGACTGTCTGGGAAGGCCCGAGGTCCGGCTGGGCTTGTGCCACTGTCCGATCCAGACCTCGCAGGTGACAAAATAACATCCCGTCTGCATGAGGGGAATTGACACAGCATGCTGCCTCCCTGCCAGCTCCAGGTTCCTCACTCCAGCATGGTCCCTCCCAGGAGCAGCCTTTCCCTCGGGCCCCTCTGAAGCCTGTGCCCTCCAGCCTCACCTCATCTCAATACTGGGGCAGAACCGGTACATGTAGATGTGGCCGTACAGCCGCAGCTCCTGGGCAAATTCTGGGGCCAGCAGCTCCTGGACGCTCGGGGAGAAGTAGCGCAGGGCATTCCTCAGGGCCAGCTGCAGGGGAGAGCGGGAGAGGCAGACAGGGCTGGGCTCCAGGCCACGCACCTTGAGGCTGCCGTGGTGGGCCATCCTCCTTCCCCACGTGGACTTACCTCTGGTCTACACAGAAGCCTACTGACCCTGCCAGGACTGCCTGGTTCTCACCCAGGCCCATCTGCAGTGTCATCTCTTGCAGGAAGCCTTCCCTGGTTGTCCTCTCTTGCCCCTTTCATTAAGGCAATCCCTCCCTCTCCTGCACCAGGGACTGGACTGCCTGATCCCAGGTAAGGACCAGAGAGGGGTCTGCCTGAGGTTTACAGAGGCGGGTGCAGAGATTCTGGCAGCCATAAGCACCCTGTGCAAGTGCAGAAAGAAAAAGCTTTCAAAAGCAACACATATTGACACCACTCATAAACTCTTGGAAGTGAGCCACAGTTAGTAATGCCTGTTGCTGCTGAGACACATGCCCATACTCCGTGGAGCAAGACTTAGCTTTCCTGCCTGGGTCACTCTTTTTATTTCATCTCCTACTATATGCTGCTTGCACTCCCCAGCTGATGCCACAGCCCGCTGGCAGGCGGGGCAGCTGCAGCCTGGAGCAAGGCCAGCCTCAGCGCTGGGGCTGGACAAGACAGTGACCAGAGTGCTAGACAAAGAGGACCTTGCTCGTGATTCCGCTGGGTCAGATGCTTTAGCAACTTGTTTGGGTAATTACATAGCTCAAACACACACACAGAAGTTAGTGTGAGAATCATCTTTTCTAAAATGGTGTGCATTGATAGAAATACCTCACCCATTCCTGAAAGTGAAGTGCATGAGAAGCTCGATCCATCCTGAAATGAACACGGCACCTGTGCCCTAAGCACAGAGGTTCTGGCAACTTTCCGGAATCCTAAACACAGGGCAAATGTTCTGTCTGCCATATTTTTTCCCTGTGCAAAATTTCCATTTGCTGATCACTGAATTTTTCTTCATCTCTGAAATTCAGTCATCTAGACTAGATGTGTCTTAATGTCAATATTTTTTCCTACTAGGATAAACTTCTTCTTTTTGTCAGCAATTTCATGTTTTTACTTAATTCAAGAAAGTTATGTTGTATTTTTTCTCAATAGTTCATCCTCTATATCTAGAGTTACATAACAGGATAGCAATAACTATTTCTCAACTGGGGAAAAAAAAGCTCCTTTTGCTGGCCAGCACCTCATCCTCCAAGCCTCTGATGAGGGTAGTCCTTGGCATTAAGATGAAAAATGGTGCTCATGCTGGCTGTGTGACTTGCCCAAGGTTCTGCAGCAGGCCTGTGGCAGGCCCGAGGGGCCCAGGTGCCCATGGGCCCTGGCAACCTCGGCAGAGGAGAAGGCGACTCAGTAGGCCCCGAGAGAACCCTTTCCCCTGGGAGGAGGCTCTGAAGGCCAGAGGCAGGACACAGGCACAGCATCCCAGGATCAGCAAGGACAGTCTGAGTGGTGTGAGGGAGTCAGCCGCTTCCTGGTGGCCCTGGAACAGTAGGCATTGCCGAGCGCTCATCCAGTCTTGCAGCCTACAGCCTGTGGGAGCCTGGGCAGGTCACCCTCACCCGGCACCTGCATCTCCTCATCTCTCAGCTCTTGACTCGGCGGCATATTTAGAAGGCTCTTGGGCCTCTCCCACCCATGCTTTTAAGGAACCCCACGCCAGAACCTAGAGCATCTTTCTTGATTGCTCCCTTTCCCCGGCCCCTCTCTCCAAGTAGACATCACAACCGGCCTTTGCAGCTTCCTTGTTCTGAGTGTTTACTCAAAAACATCACAGTAGGCACAGAAAGAGGCAGCAGGCACCCTAGTTAGGAATCCACATCCCAGAGGGCCGGCTAATGTGCTGGTCACAGGGTGCTGACGCAGTGCCCCGGTGCTCCACACCTCAGGATACCCCCAAGAGTGGAAGAAATGGTGTGATTGTAATCACACAAAGCAGGTTACAAGTAGGTTCTTACTAGTGAAACCAGCTGTTGAGATGTATAAATTGGACCGAATATTGCAGAGCCGCCCCCTCCCTTTGCCTTAACAGGCAAAAGAATTTAACAAGCAGTAGCTTAGGGCTGGCACCAGAGGATCCTGGGCACCTGATGGTATGGCAGACAGAGTAAAATCGCCCCAAGAGATGACGTCCTCCTAATTCTTGGATCCTGTGAGCATGCCACCTTACATGGCAAGAGACTTTCAGATGTGATTGAGTGAAGATTTTAACTCAAAGTGAGAAGTGGCCCTGGGTGATCCAAATGGGCCCCCTGTAACCACAGAGTCCTTGCAAGAAGATGCAGGAGGATCAGACTCAGAGAAGGAGAAGTGAGGACAAAAGCAGAATGTCCAACTGTGGTCATATAAACTTGAGGAAGCTGCACTGCTGGCTTTGAAGACAGAGGAAGAAGCTACAAGTTAAGGAATGCAGGTAGACTCAAAATGCTGGAAAAGGCAAGGAGATAGATGCTCCCTTTCAGAAGGAACAAGCCCGGCTACATTTTTAGAATATTATGACTGGGCATGGTGGCTCATATCCCAGCACTTTGGGAGGTTGAGGTGGGAGGATCAGTGGAGGCTACAAGTTTGAGTCCAGTCTGGACAACATAGCGAGACCTCACCTCTACAAAAAACAATTTTAAAAAAAGGTAGCTAGGCATGATGGTGTACATCCTGTAGTCCTAGCTACTTAGGAGGCTGAAGCAGGAGGCTCATGTAAGCCCTGGAGTTCAAGACTGCAATGAGATATGATCAGGCCACTGCACTCTAACCTAGGCAACAGAGTGAGACTCTGTCTCTAAAACACACACACACACACACACACACACACACACACACACACACACACACAGTGAACTTTTCAAACATGTAAACATAAATCAGGACAATCTGATATGTAATATCTGTACCAAAAATGAGATTTATGAGACACAATAAGAAACCAAAGGAACAAGCATAATTTTAATATCAGTACAATTTCACTAATATATCTTTATTCTAGCCCAATGAAGCCCATTTCAGAATTCTGATCCCCAGAAATGTATGAGAATAAATTCATGTTGCTTTAAACCACTGCACTTGAGGTGCCTCGTGACAGCAGCCTCAGGAGGCCAGGTGAGGCAGAAGCAGATCCTGCCCCCGGCAACCCGTCCTCTGTACCATGGCCAAGCCTATCCTGCACAGCAGTAGACCACCTGCAGGAAAGGATGCCAGCCCACAGAGCAGTGCCGTGTGTGTGTGTGTGTGTGTGTGTGTGTGTGTGTGTGTGTGTATGCATGCATTTTACCTATGACTGATTTTCCTTCTTTTTTTTTGGATTTGAAATGGGGTCTCACTATGTGGCCTAGGCTGGTCTCGAACTCCTTGACTCAAGTATTTCTGCCCAAGATGGTGACAGTCTAATTGGCTTCGCCTTGTCTGAATCACTCCTGCCCCTGCACTCTCTAGCCCATCCTTCATCAGGGCCCTTGCCAGCTCTGGTCAGAGCCTGCACTAAGAGCTGGGTGCTGGAGCCAGCTTCCTGTGCAGATTGTGGCTCAGGCCCAAGCTCACCAAGGTGACCCTGCAGAGGTTGCTGCTTCAGGGCTTCAGCCACCGTGGCTTGGTCTGGACCAGAGGACCTGCCAAGCAGCACATGCATGCTCACCTCTTCGACTTCCCTTTCCTCTTCTGTAAGGTGGGTAGAATAATAGTACTCACCTCCCAGTGCTGCCTTGGGGCACACAGAAGTGTCACGTGAGTGCCAGCTGTCAAAATCATCATCTACCACAAACACCAGGCCTCCATGTTGCTGATTCTTTCTTCCAACAGAGCCTCTGCCCACCCTGCCCTGCCAGGGCCTCTCTAAAAGTCTTTATGCTCTGTAGGGAGCATTGTTAAGCAGTAACTCATGCCCTTACTCAAAAACCTTCATGGGCTCCCCATGACTTATCTAATAAAGCCCATACTGTTCTTGGCATTCAGGGTCTATAGAAGACCCTGGCTCTCCAAGCCCTGGACCAAGCTCAGGTCTGCCCAGAGCCTCTTCTATCCCCGATACACCTTGGATGGGCCCAGTTCTGCAACTTTGCTCACTGTTTTCCTTTGTCTCCAAATGGCCTTTCTTCTTTTCCAGTGTAAGAAGCTTGCCCAAGCTGCCACAGTCACCTCCTTCAAGAAGCCCTCCCAAGTTTCTCCTGCCAGCTGAACTCTTGTAGGATGTTGGTTTGGGCATTTGCACATTCAACAAACATCTGCTGGTTTCACTAGAGACCCAGAAATGAACCCAATAAAGCCTCGCCATCAAGAAGCTTAGGATAGTATGTTCATAGCTGTGGAGACACAGATGCATGGTGATCTTCAGATCTGTGCCAAATGCCCCCACAGCCCCTGTGGGTGGGTTGGGACCTAGGGAAAGGTCACCAAGAGGCATTGCGTATGGAGGGGAGATGCTGAAGATCTTTCTAACAGAGGACCTGCCGTGCCAGATGACTACAATTTTTTTTTTCAAGTTGGAGTCTCTCTCTTTGTTGCCCATGCTGGAGTGCAGGGGCGCACTCACGGCCACCGCAGCTACGACCTGCTGGGCTTAGGCGATCCTTCCACCTCACCCTTCCAAGTAGCTGGATCTACAGAATGCACACCACCATGCCCGGCTAGTTTTTTGTGATTTATTGTAGGGATGAGGTCTCGCCAAGTTGCTCAGGCTGGTCTCAACCCCCCGAGATCAGGCAATCCTCTCACCTCGGCCTCCCAAAGTGCTGGGATTATAAACTGAGCCACCACGCCTGGCCTACAATTATCTTCTGCACTCTACCACATGTGTGCTGAGAATACATTGAGTAACACGTCACAGACAGACCATGCTCCATATTCACACAGAGGAATCTATTTAAAGAAGAGCAAAGAATAAAGTACATTGTAGTTCATTCCAACAATGAAATACTTTGCAACCACTATGGGGATCCCTCCAGATGCACCAATAAACACAATCCGAACAAAACCCAGGAGTAAGAATGCCTCCACACATGTTTATGAGGGTTCGCAGATGTCCTGCGCTTCTTACAGGAACACAGAGTTCGCCTGCAAGGATATGCCAAGAGTGGTTGTGGTGACTTGGAGATGAGCTGAGGATCTTACACTTTGATAACATTTGAATTCTTGTCTTTCATAAAATTACCTTTAAAACTGCATATCCAAAATCAAAGAGACACGGGAAATAGAAGATAGGAAACAAGCCCAGGGCACAGCAAGCGGCAGCTCCCTTGGGAGGATGGGTGAGTCCCTCACACTCCTTGGACCCTGGGTGGCCCTGTTCCAAGGGCTGTGTGTCCTCTGGTAACAGTGGCTCACATGAGCAAGCCAGGGGGGCCAGCTCCTCAGCCGCCTTCTCTCAGCACGAGACACATGGCAGCTGATCCCCGTTAGGGCATCCCCTGAGATGTGCAGGTGGCAGGGCCGTTGACACTCAGAAGGGAGAAGAGTAAGGGGAAGACACATTAGCCCCCACCTGGACTCCTGCTGAGCTGGGCCTGAGGGGGTGAGGGAAGGGGTGGGTTGCCCCGCCCCCACTGCTCTTCCCAGCCTACAGCCGCCTCTAGCGCCTGCCCCACAACCAGGACCTGCTCCTCCCTCCCCCAGCTCCTCCCCAGCATCCTGCCCCCCTTTGTGGGCGGCACTAGGAGGGCAGAGAGTCTGCTTTCTTTTGCAGAGATGAGGCCTCGCTATGCTGCCCAGGCTGGTCTTGAACTCCTGGCCTCAAGCTATCCTCCTGCCTCAGCCTCCTAAAGTGCTGGAACGAGCTTGAGCCATTGTGCCTGGCCAGAATCCTCTTTTCCTCATTTGTATTTTCCATTTCTTCCCTACTGCTTCTGAAATTCTTGAGTAACTTGAGTAAAGAAAAAGTGGGAGAAAGCGCAATGTAACCATGCCCCACTGTTTCATTTGGTCTTCTCCATGATACTGTGGGGTCAGTACTTTCAACTCCAGCTCACAAAGGAGAAGAGCAAGGTTCCCAAATAGCCAGTGACTTGCCCAGGGCTGGGCTGTGTGGGGACGCAGCAAGCAGCCCTCCACCTGGGCCTTTCTGGTCCGCAAAACGGGAGGATGGATCAAGTGAGAGGCCGCCCAGCCTCTGGCCAAGCTGCTTCCCTCCCCGCCCCCAGGCACCATCTTGCCTGTGATAGGGTTCTAGCCGCACAGCTGCAAGTTCATTGGGAGATTTGGTGGGGAGGGACATTTACAAACAAAAGCATGAGCTGACCTACTTGGAGAACACAAAAGTCGTGGAGTTTGGGGCTGGGCCAGGAGCAGGTGACTGTGCTGGATGTGGTACTTCACACCCAGCCTGCTCCTCCTCCCCCGGGAGGCGGCCACAGGGCCACCCCTTACCGGCTGAGTGACCTTGAGCCTTAGGGTCCTCACCGGTAAACAGGGACTGTAATTCCATCTCCAAGGGCAGCCGCACCCAGGGGATCCCGGGTGTGACAGAGTCTAGCACACCTTACGCCTCTTCCCACCCCCACTGGGAGCCCTGGAGGCCAGGGTGGGCAGTCTAGGAGCTGGAACTCCTGCAGGGAGAGCAGGAAGCAGGGGGCACCCACTAAGGACCACCTGAGGGCACCTGGGGGTAAAGTCCCCAGGAGCCGGTGCCCCACTTACCTGCTCCTCCACAGGGCTGAGGCCCGGGATCCTGACTGGGGCATGGGGCACCCCAGCCCAGCGTCCCCGGTTCTCCGGGAGGGGCTTCAGGGGCAGGCCGGAGCACAGCGCCTGGAGGCTAGACATGTCTGACTACGATTGTGGTGGAGGCCAGGAAGAGACTGGACAGTCAGGGCCCAGCAGGGCGGGGACCGCTGGCCTCAGCCCCTCCTCCAGCCCCTCATTGGGCCCAGGACAGTGCAAGGAGCCATGTGCAGGTCAGAGGGTCACTGGCCTCCAGGCGGGCTGCCTGCATGTTGGCTTGGGGGATGGGCAATGTTCTGGGGCAAAGGCAGGCTTTATGCCAGGGACACAGGCTAGGTGGGACCCGTTTGCCCTTTCAAGAGGCGTGCTGGCCTCGAGAGGTTGTGTTTTCCAGGATGCGACTTTGGGGAGCTGGTTGGGTGCTGACGCTGGGTTTGCTCTGGCAGTCTTTCGGGGGCACTAACCAAGCACGGGACATTGGAACTCATGTCTTGATGAGTCATGTGTCATCGAACCTGGGGCAGAGTGTGAAGCAGCCCCTCCTCCCGCCACCGACCACAGAGCGGGGCTGGGCGACAGGTGTGGCCGGAGCCCCCCAGAAGCAGGTCTACCTGCTTCACGCTCAGTGAGATGTATGCTGCTCCACCCCACTCCCAGAGCTCTTTGCAAGGACCTGCTTGGGGGATGACTCTCACCCCAAATCCATTAGCAACTCTGCCAGAAAGTGCTATTCATCAGCCCTATACCACAGATGTGGAAACTGAGGCCCAGCCAGCAAGTGATCCAGGGGAAGTGACACAGTGGCCTTTGGCCAGGCCCGTCCACGCAAGTGGGTGGTCATGAACTGCTCAGGCTTCAGGGGCAGAGAGGGGTCATGCAAGCCTTGGTGCAGGGCCTTCAGGTGCTGGCTCTTCTGGGCATGCCCCATGAAGTTACACAGCTAGTCATGGGAGGAGCTAGAATTTGAACTGACACCCAGAATCAGACTCTAGCCACTCTCCCGGCCACACCCGATCTCTCACAGCACAGTGACGGCATCCTTGCTGGGTGTGATATTGTTAGAATAAGAAACACGTGCTGGCCTCTGCCCCCAGCCTCTGAGACAGCACTCCCACAGTCCTTGTAGATAGGGAATCCAGGAGACTCTTGTTCTGATATTTGGTCTTTGACTCTGATTCTTGACACATGACTCCTAAGACCTTCTGACCTAGAGGTCCTAAAGCCCCTGGAAGTTTCCGAGTGATAAGAGCATCTTTTGTTCTGACGAGGTGACTCTTGGGGGGCTGCCGGAGAGCCCCAGATGGGGGCTGATCCCACAGGGATCGACCTGCTCTTAGAGAACAGAATGCTCAGTCCTGGGGAAGGGAGAGGGACTGCAGGCCACACTGGTCACCAAGGCCAGTGGCATCGTCACTCATGAAGCACCGGAAGTACAGGGTCCAGAAGAGCTCCGAATAGCTGAGTCTGTCAGGTTCCTGAAAGTGGCATGCCTAGAGCACCAGGGAGCTCTGCAACCCGTCCCAGACCTCATCCTGCATCTTCTCATCTGGCTCTTCAGCTTATACACTGCAACACCTTCATAATAAACCAGTAGTCATAGGTGTTTCTGTGTCCTGTGTGCTGTCCTAGCAAATTAATAGTCTCTGAGGACAGGGTTGTAGGAACTCCCAATTTATACCCAGTCACCCTGGGGCTTCCAGTTGGCGTCTGAAGGGGGCAGCGGTCTTGGTGGGGTTACGCCTTCCACTTGGGATCTGATGCTGTCTCAAGGTGGGTCGTGTCGGAAATGACCTGAACTGAAGCCGAGGACACCCAGCTGCTGTCTGCTGGAGAGATGGCTGTCGGCAGGGAGGAAACTCCACATACACTTTGGAGACCAGAACGTGTTGTGCTGAGTGTCCGTGAAGAGGGAAAGGGTTTCTCTCGCACACTAGGGTCCACAACGTCTCTGTTCCTGTTACACATTGGGTAGGTCTACACAAACCTGCCCCTAAGGTCTGAGGAAGCTGAGAGACCAAAGAGGCTGACAAATCTAGTGTCTCCGAGAGAAACATTGAATAGGGACTACAAACAGAAGCCATGTTTGTGTCTTGAGGGGCAGCAGGACAAGAGGGTGGATTCCCATGCCATTAACCCCAGAGCCAGGGCTTTTATACCACAGGGAAAGGAAAGGTGAGTCAGAGGGGATGCACAGGACACACCAAAACTGCTTGACCTGAGGGCAAGGTTTACCCTGCTCTTACACAAGGAGCAACAGCTAGTGGAAATCCCGGAGACCTCCCCAGAACTGGGGTTGAGCAGAGGTCAAATGGTGGGTTAGCATCCAAGATGGAGTGGCTTCAGCTTACCAGCAAGGGATGGCCTCACGGTGAGGGAACAGACACATGCTGACACTTACTCTCAGTCTCTCTGGCACAATGAGCTGAGCACCTGTGAGCCAGGTGCTCTAGGAGGCAGAAGTCACACAGCCTCCACACCAGCAGTAGCACTGCCAGCTCTCTATTCCAGGGCTCCTGATGCCTAGGGGTCTGCTCTTCCCACCCAGAGGGCTAGCTAGCTGGCAGGGCTCGAGAAGGAGCAGCCCCACCTCACCTGCCCAGGACAGCCCTAACTTGGTGGTAAGCGCGCCAGGAAAGGAGGCAGTCGTAACTCCTTTCCAGGGGTGAGCCCTGTCCCCCCTCATCCCCAGGCCTGGACTGAGTTGCCCTGGGGCAGTGCTGCACCTTGGCCTCCCTCCCACCTCACTCCCCACTCCCCTAATAGGTCCTCAGCAAGTTATCTCCACTGAAACCTCATCTCGGGGTCTGCTTCCCAGGCCTCCTCCTCCGGCTTCCAAACAAGCCCAAAACCCCACCATTTTCTGAAATTGCCTATGTATACAGGTCTGCAACCAGTTCTTAAAGATTTTTTTGATATTGTACAGAACACCCATGGATGGTATCCAGGTCAATGTCCTGACTGTGCTGAGGTCCTGGAGTTTCCCACTGAGGGAAAGCGGATACAGGGAACTAGGCTCTCTCAGTATTATTTCTTACAACTGCACACGAATCTAGTTATCCCAAGTAAACAATTTAAAAACAAGCACATGTAAATTGTCAAGCGATTTAAAACAACGAGGGCCTCACAGAGGGTACATACGGCAGGTTCCACTCCTGGCTGTGTTGCTCTCTGGTTGTGTGTCCTTGGGTAGGTTACTTGGCCTCTTGGTGCCTCCATTTCCTCACAGCACCTCATGGGATGCATCTGAGGATTAAATGAGGTAACATGTGAAGGGCTCAGAACAGCGCCTGGCACCGAATACGCACCAGATGAGAAACTGTTATGTTTTTCTAATGGCTGCCTCTCTCAAGAAAAGCACCATCTCCCCCAGAGACAGCACCAGCCCCTTGCCTGGTCCCCACCTCCTACCTGCCTCCAGCCCAGCAACCCCCGGCACTGATCTTAAAACATCCTGACTGTGGGACCGCCCGCTTGGAAGGAGTCACAAGACGGTTGCTCCATAACCTGACTGCAGCTGAGATAACGCCAACCAGACCTCTAGGAGGACCAGCACCCAAGATAAGCCATCGAGACACACTGTGCCACGCCTGCACACCAAGTTTTTAAAACCCTTGCACTCACACTAAAAATCTGAAATAGGTCCTTTGAGGCATGAGCCTGGCCATTGCCTCACCTTCCAGCCTTGGCATAAGGCACTTTTCTTCCACCATCTCTCAGCTCTGGAGTTTGGCTTTAGGTGGTGAGCAGCTGAGCTTGCAGAGGCCACAACACTTAGAAAAATTCACCCGGGAGATCTTGACTTCATGCCTGCCTCTGCCTTCACCCACCCCCCCTCATCCCCTGGAGCTTCTTTGCTGCTCCTTGAGCAGCAGTCGTGGTTTTTAAGCCTGCCCATGAATTCCTGGACACTTCTTCAAGTGGGGCTAGGGTGCAGCCCCACCTCCCGAGTCTGGGTCGGCCTTAGCGATTTCAGTAACCAACAGAAGGCAGCCCCAGGCCAGGTCAGAGAGTGGCCACACAGCCTGGCTCCTTGGGAGCAGCTCGGGCACTGCCCCTCCCCAGGCTGGAGCACATCAACCGCCCAGCCAGACCCTGCAGCCAACACCACCGGCCCCATGAGGATAGGACATCCAGCCTGGATGAGCGCCAGCTGCCCTCTGACTGCAGCAGCAACGGACCCCCAGGGAGAAGCACCCAGTCAAAGCCCTTCCCTGATTCCTCATCCCCAAACTGTGAGCAAAATGTAAATAGTCATCTTAGGCTGCTAAATTTCAGGGCAATTGTTACTTTGCAACCATCACTTTGAGGCCTTTGCCTGGAAGCCCAGTCCCCAGGTACCCACCTGATTTACTTCTCCCTAGATTCACACCTCTGCTCAAATATCATTTTCTCCCTGAGGCTCTGTTGGGCCAGAGACCCCAAAAGGGAAGGCTCTGTGTCCAAGAGGCTGAAGAAATGACCAGAGACAACAGACGAGACTTAGCTTTATTCTGGAACTTACGGGGAAAGGTGGTCCGGGAGCAGCTGGCTGGACAGGAAACAACCGCCCCAACTGTAAAAGGAACATCCATTAGATTGCATTTTACACTGTGTGGAGTACTGAGCTAAGCATGAAAAGGGAAGGGTTTCTAGTGCACAGGTGCAGTGTGAGAAGGTGCTTAGACCTATGAAGGGGGACCTCAAAAATCCAGGAACTATCTTCTGGAGGGCGGACCTCTTGTAGTACGGGCTTCCCGCTAGAATTGTCCTAATCCATCGGCATCAGCGTACCATCTAGAATGGCTGTGAGAGGCTGCGTTCGGCTTTAGTGAATTTTTTTTTTTTTTTAGATTCTTTCAGAGTCCAGAGTGCACGCATTTGCCTGTTTCATGATGAAGCAGGATGAAAGGATGGGACACGTATCCAAGGTGGCAGGGGTGGGCCTCTAGGGTGACACTCAGTGACAACATGAACATGCCCTTGGATATGGCCCGAAGCAGGGGGCTGGAGCCTGGGGAGGGGTCCCGCGTGGCCCACCCACGCCCTCTCTATTCATCCGATCTCACCTTGAGCGACTCTTTTTTGTTTCCCTGGGGAAAAAAACAGTCCTCAAAGGGAAATATTTTACTGACCAGGTGAAACAAAAAAATGGCAGAAGCA